TGAGGACGGAGAGCACAGAGGACAAATCCCCCCGGCAGAGCCTGGTGGGAGAGGCCGTTTTGAAGGGCTCCCCGGCGCAGGAAGGCAGCGGGGAGGAAAAGGCCCGGAGATGCCCCCGGAGGAGGGGCTGCAAAGCCAGCCCAGGGAGCTCTGAGGAGGAAAGACCCGTCCTGTGCCGGGAAGGCGGCCGGAGCTTGAGCTGGAGCTCCGAGCTGGTGGTCCCTGAGCAGCCTCCCAGCAGGGAGAAGCCCTTCAGGTGCTTGGAATGTGGGAAGAGCTTCAGGGACAGCTCCGACCTCCTCAGGCACCAGCACATCCACACTGGGGCACGGCCCTACTCATGTACGGAATGTGGGAAGAGCTTCAGGCACAGCTCCAACCTCCGCATCCACCAGCGCATCCACACTGGGGAACGGCCATACGAGTGCTTGGAATGTGGGAAGAGCTTCAGGGACAGCTCCAACCTGATCCAGCACCAGAACATCCACACTGGGGAACGGCCCCACACGTGTGGGGAATGTGGGAAGAGCTTCAGGCACAGCTCCCACCTGATCCGACACCAGCGTATTCACACTGGGGAACGGCCCTACAAGTGCTTGGAATGTGGGAAGAGGTTTCAAAGCAGCTCCAATCTCCTCAAGCACCAGCGGACACACACAGAGGAGAGGCCCTTCCGCTGCACCGACTGTGGGAAGGGCTTCAACCTGAACTCCCACCTCATCACCCACCGGCGCATCCACACCAGAGAGAGGCCCTTCAAGTGTGGGGAGTGTAGGAAGAGCTTCACCTGCAGCTCTGCCTTGACCCTACACCAACGGGCCCACCGGTAATGGAAAGCCCTATGAGTGTCTGACTGCGGGAAGAGCTTTGGGCGCTGCTCCCACCCCGAATGAACCCCCTGATGGTGAGGCAACCCCTGGAGTCCAGTGACTGTCAGTCCATCCCTTTCTACCAGAAAGGACCAGTCCCCTTTCCCAGGGGCAGGTTGTGCCAACAGAACCCTTCTTGGGGGTGTGTGGAGATTCCTGCCTTGGCTGGGACCCCCCAAGGTCACTGCTGGAGGTTGAGAGCAGAGATCTCCCCACGAACGTTGGTCTGGGGGAGTTCCATCCCTCTCTAATTCATAATTCTTGTTTTGGTGCCAGCTTGAGTAGAATTGCTTCAACAATTGCTTTTTGCTTTAGTGTAGAGCACTGTCCCATCTTATCCTGTACTACTGGTAGTTTTAGTATTTCTATTGTGCAGGAAATAATTCTGATGAAGATCTTTTGTCTGATCATTTGTAACCCTAAAGAATTCGTTTCTATCAATAGATTGGAGTTGTCATCATTAAAGCCCTGGTTCAGTCCCACCTCTGTAATTCCTGTCAACTGAAAGTGTTGGCATAACCCAAGGCTGAGATTGGATCCAGCAGCCCCAGCACCCCACAGTCAGTTGAGAGCTCAGGGGGGCACCCCCCTTTCCCAACCTTCTGTGCCCAAAGACCCCCATGGGACTGTCTGACCCACCAGACCCCCCCCCTCTTCCACCCTTCTCCCTGTTCTTTCCACTTTTCCATGGTCCTCAATCCCCAGCCCCTCCCAGATCAGTTTAGGGGTCCCAAACCCCACTTTTTCCCCCCTCTCTCCTCCTTCCACATCATCCCCCCACTCCCCAGCCCCCTCATGCTCATTTTGGGGGTCCCACCCTGCCCTTTCCCCACTCTTCTCACCTCTCCTACCCATTCCCCATCATCCCCCAAACCTCACTGCCCTGCCCCCCTCCACTTTTGGGGGGTCCCACTCCCCTCCCACTCATTTTGGGGTCCCACCACCCCTTTTATCCACTCTGACCCCCTTTTCCCACCGACCTCCCCCTTCCCACCCCTCTCTCACCCGAGAGCTCCTCGCCCGCAGCTGGGGGGGCTCCCAGCACCACCAGTGCCCAGAGAAGCCCCCCAGAAAAGGGGTTGGGTGGGGTCCTGGCTGGGCTCTGAGTGTGTTTGGGGGTCCATGAGGGGCTGTGGGGAGGTTTAGGGGTCCCAGCGCTTTTTAGGGTGAGCTGGGAGCCTATTGAGGGGCCGGTGCCCTCCCAAAGCCCCCCCAGAGTGGGGTGACATGGGGGGAACACAGGGGGTCCCCATTCCCGATCCATCCTGGGGCTGATTCTGACCCCCCAAACTCGGCCCCACCCCTTGGGATCCTCCAAACCCCCCAGTGCCCCCAAATAACCGGGACTGGGGCAACTGGGATCATACTGGGAGCAGCTGGGCCCCTGCTGGGGTCATACTGGGATCATACTGGGAGTGACTGCAATAATACTGGGAGTGTGTGAGAGGGACTGCAGCCATACTGGGGATGAGTGGGATCAAACTGGCTTTGTACTGGAAGTGTCTGGAAGATCCTGGGATCATACTGGGGGTGACTGTTATCCTTCTGAGATCAAACTGGGATCATACTGGGAGCAGCTGGTTCTATGCAACTGGGAACTAGTAGGATACCACTGGGAGCAACTGGAACTATGCTGGGCACAACTGGGATCATACTGGGAGCAACTGGGCCCACAGTGAAGGTGGCTGGCATCATACTGGGAGGGACTGGGAACATTCTGAGGGCAGCTGGGACCATGTTGGCCCAACTGGGATATACTGGGAGCAAGTGGGATCACGCTAGAGGTGACTGGGATCATACTGGGAGCGACTAGGACCACAGTGGGGGTGACTGGGAGTGGCTGTGAGAAACTGGGATCATACTGGAAGCTACTGGGAGCAACTGGGAGTGAGTGGGACCACAGTGGGGGCAACTGGGATATACTGGGGGAGACCAGGAATGACTGGGAACATACTGGGATTGACTGGGAGCATACTGGGAGTAACTGGGAGCAGGCTGAGGTCGACAGCGATATACTGGGAGAGATTGGGAGTGACAGGGATCCTACTGGGAGGGCCTGGAACTACAGTGGGGTGACTGGGAGCAACTGGGACCATGCAGGGAGTAACTTGGATCCTACTAGGAGAGACTGGAATCATACTGGGATTGACTGGGAGCATGCTGGAGGCAACTGGGATATACTGGGAGTGGCTGGGATCGTTCTGGGAGTGACTGGAACCATAGTAGGGGTGAAGGGGAGCAACTGGAACCATACTGGGGGCAACTGGGATCATATTGGGAACAACAGGACCCCTACTGGGGTCTTATTGGGAGTGACTGCAATAATATTGGGAGTGTGTGGGAGGGACTGCAGCCATACTGGGGATGAGTGGGATCAAAGTGGGTTCCTATTGGAAGTGTCTGGAAGTTCCTGGGATCATACTAGGGGTGACTGGACTCATACTGGGATCCTACTGGGAGCAACTGGGACCATGCAGGGGGAAATGGCATCGTCCAGGCAGGGACTGACAGTGCCTGGGGCCATCCTGGACTCAGACTGGGAGTCCCTGGGAGGGAAAGGAACCATCCTGGAGGGGGCTCGGAGCAACTGGGCCCACCTTGGGGGCAACTGGGACTCTATTGGGAGTGACTGGGGTGACTTGGATCATAGTGGGGAGTGACCAGGACCATACTAGGACCATCCTGGGCGTGACTGTCCGTGCCCAGGATCATACTGGGAGTGACTGGAACTATGCAGGGGGGGACTGAGAGCAACTGGGATCATGCTGGAAGCAACTGGGAGTAACTGGGAGTGACAGGGTGCATGCTGGAGGCAACTGGCATGAACTGGGAGTGACTGGGATCACACTGCTGGGAACTGGGACCATCCTGGGGCAAGTGGAAGTCACTGGGTGCAGTGGGTTTCTGTGGGTTGGTTTTGGTAGCGGGGGGCTCCAGGGGTGGCTGTCTCTGTAATGTCACCCTTGTCCTTGTGAAGTCACCAATGTCCCCAACATCACTGTGCTTGTCACAACTATCTCTTTGTTGTCACCATTCCCCTGCAAGGTCACCAGTCCCCAAAGATGTCATGGATGTCCCTGTGATGTCACCAGTGTCACTGATAATGTCACTGGTATCTCTGAGGTGTCACCCCTGTCCTTGTGAAGTCACTGATGTTCCCAATGATGTCACTGATGTCCTTGGGATATGTCACTGGTCCACAATGATGTCACTGCTGTCCATGTAATGTCACCACTGTCCCCTGTGATGTCATCAATATCCCCCATGATGTCACTGGTGTCTCTGTGTTGTTATCCAGGTCCCCTGTGATGTCATCGATGTCCCTGTGACATTATGGCTTTCCCTTTGTTGGTAACAATTGCCTGTGATTTCACAGGTTCCTCTGTGATGTCACCACTGTCCCCAATGATATCACTGGTGTCTCTGTGTTGTCACCTCCACCCCCTGTGATGTCACCACCGTGCTGAGCCATGGCACCATGTCCCTGTCATGTCACCGATGGCAGTGATGTCCCTGTGACATCATAGTTATTCCTTTGTTGTCAACAGTTTCCTGTGAGGTCACTGGTCCCCAGTGATACCATCTATGAACCTGGGATGTCACCACTATCCCCTGTGATGCTACCAGTGTCACCAATAATGTCACTGATGTATCTGTGATGTCATACCTGGCCTTGTGATGTCACCAATGTCCCCTGTCATGTCAGAGGTCTCCCTGTGACATCACAGCTGTCCCTTTTTTGTCAGCAGTCCCCTGTAATGTCATTGGTCTCCAGTGATGTCACTGCTTTCTCTGTGTTGTCACCACTGTCCCCAGCAGTGGCATTATGTCCCTGTGATGTCATCGATTTCCCTCTGATGTCACCTGTCACCTTCGATGTCAGCGACATCCCCGTGATATCACAGGATTCCCTTTCTTGTCACCAGTCCTCTGGGACATCACTGCTCCCCAGTGATATCACCGATGTCTGTGTGATGTCACCACTGTCCCATGTGATGTCATCAATGTCCCCAATGATATCACTGGTGTCTCTGTGTTGTCACCTCCACCCCCTGTGATGTCACCAATGTCCCTGTGACATCACAGCTCTCTCTTTGCTGTAAGCAGTCCCCTGTGATATCACTCATCATCAGTGATGTCACTGCTGTCCCTGTGATTTCACCACTGTGCCCAGCAGTGCCACCATGTCCCTTTGATGTCCCCGATGTCCCTGTGATGTCACCAGGCCCCTGTGATGTCACCAATGACTTTGTTCCATCACGGCTGTCCCTTTGCTGTCAACAGTCCCCTGTGATGTCATTGATCCCCAATGATGTCACCCCTGTCCCCTCTGATGTCACAGATGTCCCTGACATTGTCACTGGTGTCTCTGTGATGTCACCCCTCTCCTTGTGATGTCAGTCAAGTCCCCTGTGATGTCAGCAGTGTCCCTGTGACATCACGGCTGTCTCTTTGTTGTCAACAGTCTCCTGTGAGGTCACTGGTCCCCTGTGATGTCACCACTTTCCCCTGTGATGTCACCAGTGTCACAGCTAATGTCACTGGTGTCTCTGTGATGTCATCCCTTGCCTTGTGAATCAGCAATGTCCCCTGTGATGTCACAGATGTCCATGTTGATGTCACTGCTGTCTCTGTGGTGTCACCACTGTCCCCAAAAGTGGCACCATGTCCCAGTGATGTCACCAATGTTGCTGTGACATCACTGCTGTCCCTTTGTTATTATCAGTCCCCTGTGATGTCACTTTTCCCCAATTATGTAACCTCTGTCCCTGTGATGTCACCACTGTCCCCTGTGACATCAGCAATGCTCCGATGATTTCATTGGTTTCTCTGTAATTTCAACCCTTTCCTTGTGAAGACACCAATGTCCCTGTGACATCAGGGTTGTCCCTTTGTTTTCAACAGTCCCTTGTGATGTCACTGTTCCCAAATGCTGTCATTGGAGTCTCTGTGATGTCACCACTGTTGTTGTGAAGCCATTGATGTCCCCTGTGATTTCAGCAATCTCTCTGTAACATCACGGCTATCATTTGTTGTCACCAGTCCCCTGTGAGGTCACTGGTCCCCAGTGATGTCACCCATGTCCCTGGGATGTCACCACTGACACCGATAATGTCACTGGTGTCTCTGTGATGTCACCTCTGGCCTTGTGAAGTCATTGATGTCCCCTGTGATGTCACAGATGTCCCCGTTGATGTCACTGCTGTCTCTGTGTTGTCATCACTTTGCTGAGCTGTGGCACCATGTCCCCATCATGTCATCCATGTCAGTGAGGTCCCTGTGACATCACAACTGTCCCTTTCTTGTCAGCAGTCCCCTGTGATGTCACCCATCTCCCTGTCATGTCATCACTGTCCCCTGCGATGTCACCAATGTCCCCGTGACATCATGTCTGTCCCTTTGTTGTCAACAGTCCCCTGTGATGTCAGTGGTCCCCAGTGATGTCACTGCTGTCTCTGTGATGTCAGTACTGTCCCCAGCG